GCCATGGAAGCCACTTGGTTGGGCTACAAGTCTGGTCCGTGGCAATGCACCGCAAACCAAGCGCATATTTAAATTTGACTATGACAAGGAAGGAATACGAGAAAGGCAAGTAACCTGCAGTATTTTCACCCCGTTGCCAGAGTGGTCAAAGATCATAAGGCTGGCTGACGGCGTCACGTTGGGTGCGCGGCACGCAAAGAAGCCTAACCCTAGACCAGAGAAGCTGCGACGTGTTGTTTATCGAGATCCTTTCTGGATCGTTTGTTCTCTAGTCATTATCGTTGTGTTAGTAAACTGACTGGTAAGGAAAGATCAGCTTAAGATATACTGAGGCATAAATGGTGGCAAGATTGCAACTCGACAGTGGTGCCATTGACAGCCAACAAAAGGATACCGTAGCGTTATCCTCACCGTAAGTGGATCATATGATAGAGTGACTGAAACGACGATGATATCTGTCCTTATCTGTTCTGCTGTTATAGATGAGACTCGTTTTACATTGTTTATCTATCATGATATATATATATACCAAAGATTAGGCGCATAAATCGCTTTGTATTTAACGAAAAAGATACTTAAACATTTCTTTGCCAAGCAAGACCAGGCAGGTTGCTGTGGCAGCATTAGCTCGGTCATATTCGGCCAATGGCCACCTTCCGTCTTTCACAAAATGATGATGTTATCCATTTAGTGGCATAGTTCAATATTATAGTGGGCCAGATGACTGGTATCATAGATCGTGCACATGGCGATCCTGTATTGTCGCTACGCGTTACTTTAAAAATAGCCCGAGAGTAAGATTTAAGATTTCGCTAAGGGTTTTGTTTTATGCAAATCCCGCTTCGCGTACCGTACTACCCTTACCATTATTAATTCAAGATTATTGAATTAGTATTGAACGTATATTTAGTAATATTATGCATATATATGTAATATAATCGTTAAGCATGTTTTCTGACGTAAAGTTCAATGTATATAGATATATATGATAAAAATCCGACAACTCCGCTGCAAAGCCGTCGCCGAATTATTAGCGAGATTTTTTTCCTAAAAAAAAAATTTTCTTGTTAGCTACTGATATAATGCGCTTTCTCAACTTTAGGACGTATTTCTCTCAATAACATATCTGACCCCTTAACTACGACTGCCTATATTAAACTCATATGCGTCAGAGACCTCTTTGCATACAAGCAATTTTTTTAGGGCCAGGATACTATCGATGTCGGTGCTGCACTGACCTAAGCTGGCAGAGGACTATGGGATCGATTCTCCCTGGCACATCGGTAGCATAGCTAGCCTATTTGGATTTTGTTTGATTACAACAACATACTGTATTTAACTTCTGGTTGTTTTTTGGAGCAGTTTGCTTATACACTAATTCTCTGCGTCTTGTTCGAATTTCCGCCTGATGCATCACTAAGTTTTGAAACACGCTGCAGGATAGTTTACTAAACAGCATTCGACCCTAAAACGCATCGAGCGCGTAATGGCGGTGAATTCTGGTCCCCAACGTCGATTTTTTCGACCCTTCTCTAAGCTAGTAATGGATTAGGCTTCCTAGGTAGTGAAATTCGGTAGACCGTTTCCAATAGCTACACCGTGTTGCGAACCCTATCTTTCGAAGTTGTCTTAAACAGGCGTCACTGCGGATTTCGCCGTACGATTACAACATCATCAGCAGATCCTGGTTCGAATTCCCTATTCGGCTCCTGTCGCAAATGCTGACTCTCATCCTGCTCATTTTTCGGTGATTAAAGTTATCGTCGATGCTGATAAAGCTGCAAATGCTGTCGCTTCTGCTACTGACGTTCGGTTACAAGTTATTTTCTAACGCAGGTTATACTGCAAGCGATAGTCTTTCAGGTGTACGGCTTATTTTGTTAACCTTTGCTAATTACGACTGACCTGAGCACGCGGACTAATAACTCTCATATGAAAGTGGGATAAACTGAGAAAGATTAGTCCCGGAAGCAGAAGATAAGCCAGGTGGTATCTGTTATGGCCCCAGGCTACTCCACAGGTAAAAGTCTGCCAGCGAACCACTTGTTTGGAAACTTTCAATCCAACTCCGCCACTAGCTGCTGGTTAGTAGCGGATTCTCGCGCTTTCATTTTCTAAGGCCTAGCTCTAAAAGGAAAAGGTTCGACCTTTCAATTTTTGAGCTTAGCCACGAGCAGTATCGGATTTACTTTTAGGGATTTAAGTTGCGTAAAAAGTGCACAGATAGTATCTAGCGCGCCTAAAGTGTAAATGGCGCACATTTGCATACGTGAACATATAAATGTAAGATCGAAATCGTCGTTCAGATGGAAGGAACAGTTCGTAAAGCCTCAAGAGGGGTGTGAAGGCAGCAAGAGACTAGATTAGTTCGGCTCTGCTTACGGTCTATTTTATAGTAATTCTAGCGGCAGCCTGGCTATCAACAGACCGAAAAGCAAAACGCGTGAGACCATAATCCTGGCTCTCCGCTATTTATTATAGTATAATATAGTATAGCTTTACAAGCAAAAATAGTTAGCTACGGATAACGTTTGGCGGTAGTGCAAAACAGTGGGGCTGGACCAGTCTTTTTGAATAGGCGTCGGTGATTTTATTCGCATCTACAACTGTTAAGGGACTCATAGTTTACTCATATTTTTGACCATACTTTTTTCGACTTTACGTTAGCATACACAAAAAATATCTTTTCATTCAAAAAGGTCCTACTGATCAAAGTTCGTCCTACAGTTTCATCGGTAAGATCAGTAGGTAAATATAGATTATCATTATTAACTGTTTTTCTACACCCTTAGAAAAGTGATACATTTCCGCGTCTCAACTTACGCAAGTTATTAGTTAGAATCTTATGCATGACTTTATAATGCTGTGGATCGTTTCGGCAAGAAGTTATAGCTTAAGCTGAAGAAGTTATAAGGTAGGATGATTATTTTATTTACACTTGAAAGGCGTTATTTCACTAAGATCTGCAGGGCAAGCCTGTGCGGTTTTGAATGCATCGTCCTTCTTGACCTATGCACCCAATTGCTAATGAACCGTACGAGTATATTAGATACAGATTCTAAAAGAAGTAAGCTAATCTCCATTCTCCGTATAGGTAGGTATAGACTATCGTACAATAAAGGTTCTATCTGACTTTATGACTCTCCACACGTATGTTCCATGGAACGTATGCGGTTCTAGGTTTAGAATGTCGATAGTAATCTCGTCAGACTAAAAGCTTCCAACACTTAATAGTTCTTCACGGTTTCATTCGATCATCTATTGTTGACTTTGCAGATACATCCGTTAGTATATGTCATTATATGCGCGTACTTAGCTACCGTTCGTGGCGGCCTCCGTGTGCAACAAAGCGTGTGCAACAAATAATGTTTCAAAAAAAATCGTCCTCATATATAAACCGTATGCGAGGTAATCATCACCTACTAAAGTAAAAATGCTCTAAAGGCCAGAATGCGCTACCGTTTTCCCATCGACTTCAAATGAAGGTATTATCTATGATATATCAATAAGGTTTTTATTTTAATGTGGCAGGGACATATAATGCTTAATGTGGAATGTATTTCAGTGAACAAACGACTTCTATCCAAGCGCTTTATCTATTTGTGACATCGATCGACGTTGGTGTCCAGGTGTATGTGAGGTGTTGTATGTTTGTATGTATTACGGGTCAAACGAGAAAAAATGTATAAAATTACATAAATTAAGCATAAGTTATATGCTCGTAACCTAATTGAGCGATTAATGGTTGAAGTAGACCGGCTATCAAAACCGTAGTTACATAAGTTGAGTTCAATGACAATAAGCAACACGTGTAATCTTATTTGGGTCTCGCAGAGCCTATCGAAGTAAGACTTGGCTGGCTCAGTGTCTTCGCCTCACTCGATTGATGATGAAATTGCAGTCAGAGGTGCACCTCGTGTCAAAATAAACTGCTTCAGAAGGATAGCTTTACTGTGTCGAGCGTAGTGAAGTGAACGACTGGACAATTGCAAAAAGGAACTGAAGTCTTCATATAAGTTCCAGTCGTTCTATTGGGATTAGGACCAGACGGTTGAAATGCATGTCAAGTGGCTATACGCGCTCGATTCCCGCGTTTTTTTGAATAGAAAGATGTCATTGACGGCGAGTTATACCTATACGCGACACGTTCGTTATATAGCATTGAACAACCTATTTGTAAAGGCCTATCCATCAGACATGTTCGTTTACACGGCCCTGCGTACCATAAGTTTTACCAATACGTTTTATGCATAGTGCTCTAACGCAAGTCCACCATTTTCCTTTAGATAGTAAAGTATGTTTCAAGATAACCAAATGGAGTAAAGGTCGGGCGACGATTGACTAAAGCGAAATTAGCGCTAGGCTGAAAAATTGAAAGGCTCGTTGCATTTTAGACAGTTTACCATTGTTTAAGTGCGCTGTTCTTGTATGTTTTTCATCACTTCGTGTGTCACACTATAGCTATAAAAATATACGTTCGCAAAATAAAAATATGAGACACGATTGCACTGGAGTGTGTCATCGCAACTATCAGACTTTGATGAAAACGTTCCTAGGATCGCATCGTTTTAACGAACCGTTTGTACAACTATGTGGCAGACCTCGTCTACGGGATTCCTTACAGAATCGTAATAGCTTTACCAGCAGGCATACTATCAGGCTTGACGTTTCTTCGAGTATAGCGTAAAGAAAATAGTAAATATTTAGGCAACAGTAGTTTAACTTACGCGACTTGAACAGACACTAGCTATGTATGAACAATACTGTGATGATTGGGCATTGTATGCATGACTCCGTTATAAGTCTAAACCTGCTGCCTTTGTACGTAGCAAATGACAGGTTTATACAAGCTAGTCTTCACATTTCAACTGAGTTCGCTATATTAGGAAGTGCTCAAGTTACACACAATCAAAGGGAGCGCACAGCGAGATATCGCGGACGATAGGTGCCGCAGACAGCACGAAGCTGAGCCTGTAGACTCCTAGGCTCAATGGGGCCAATTCAACTGTAAAGGCGTCGTACGCAGACGTTTATTAGAGCGTTTTTAGATAGCAGAATAGGTGATGAATATTTGGTTCAAGGTTTAATATCGCTAGACATAATTTATAGTAAATGTATTTTGTCTGCTTTCGCGTTACACGTCAGCTACAGATGAAGTTCCGTTTCTACAGTCCATCATCAGTGAACTGGAAATGTTTAGAAGTTTTTCACAGTGCCAACGACTTCTCGTTTTGCTGATATAACTGTGTTCTTGATTAACATAGCTACAGTCATTGGTCCGACGCCGCCAGGCACTGGAGTGATCCATGAAGCCACTTCCTTCACCTCATCGTAATCGACATCGCCAACCAACCTAGGCAAGGATTCATAGACAAAATTGGTTAGCGAATAAATCGACGAATTCGAAACGATCGTGAGAATCCCTATACGAACCTGTTACATGACCACTGATAAAGTTGCTCTTAAAAAATCTAGCTACTTTACTTTTAGGGAAAAGTCCGCGGAACGTCTGGAAGTAACCTTAAAAACTCTGCTACATATTTCCTTCGTCTGCCAGTATAGCCATAGCATTAGCATAGCACAGCATTTGCAACACAAGAAAGGGAATTTTATTCGACCAGATATTGATTCAAGAAGCCATCAATAGATCTGTCATAGCTTGGCATGATACAGTATCATCAAAGTGCAGCGGAAGTGCTGAAATTTCTGGCTTCGGCTATACAATACCTGCTATTCATTTAAACTCACAGTGATAATGCATATTGTACCGTTTTTCTTTCGTTTTCAATTAGGTCATATTGTAGGATTCTCGCCAAATTGCTAAGAAGGCCCAGCCGTAGAAGTCGTTTCATGGCAAATGCTGTTGCCGTCTTGAGACGGGAAGGTTTTCACCTGTCGGCTTCCTATCTTTTTTTGCTATAGTTAAATTACCCAATACGCCTGTCATTAATATTTTTTAGTGCCAGCGCGTTGCAACATGGCGTTTGGTCCTATTGAGCGCACTCCGCTCACTTTGACTATTCTCGCAATTATGATAATCCATGGATGGATTCTAGTTTGGTCGATTTAGCTTTGGCCCGATTACAATAATATTATATTAAAAAAAAATTATTTTTCAAGTAACTGCTAAAGGTGTATAGGTGTTAATATATATAGCAACAGGTGCTCAGTGTTTATTTGCAGTTCATTATGAAGTTAAATAATATCGTAGGTTTGAGCACGTCCGAAGAACGTTCATCTCATAGCTTACCGAGAGCCTTTAGGGGACGTGGGATCTTGGATTGAGTTAATACCGCAATCGATCACAATAGCTCCGGGCTTAACCCAGTCACGTTTCACCAACCTTGGCACACCGACCCCAGCGACGATAATATCTGCCTGACGAGTCCAATAAGGGACATCTTTTGTTCGGGAGTGACACATCGTCACTGTAGCGTTAACGTTACGCAAAATGCATGCCATAGGGGAGCCTACAATTTTCGAGCTGACAATCACAGATGACATCGAAAACAATACAACAGAAAAGAACTACGCATATTAGTGAAGTCAAGACGTAATCCACCGACCACTCAATTTTAACTCACGTACACCCACAGCGAAAAAGCAGATATCTTCAGTTTACTGAAAACACGGAGGAGGTGTAGCTTTAAAGATTTGATTTAATACATTGTTGATAATAATAATAATAATAATCATCAAGCTACCATAAAGTCACGAAAGATTGACTATGAGGCAATAAATATATTTTTTTCGATTAGTATTAGGAAAAAAATTACCGTCCAATTACGACTGCATTCTTGCCCGAAATTTCAATACCAGTTTTCTGGATTAGTTCAAGGCATCCTCGAGGAGTGCATGGCAGAAAGAATCCTTCGAGCTCACCGTGAGATAATCGTCCTGCATTCTCAATGTGGACGCCATCGACATCCTTGAGAGGGCATACCGCATTGCAAATTTTACCTGAATTTACATAGAAATATCAAACACACGGACTTATCGTTGTGAGTACCAGCGTTAAAGGTTCAGTCTATGTATTGTGCCTAGCTAGATCTGACGAACATGTCCTCTGATTCTTGCGGAAGTCACATATGACCATCCTCTATAACAATACGTTTTTCTATACCTCTAGATATAACGCACTCTATGACGGTATCTGCTGTATAATTCCGAGAGATAACATGTGGTTGCTTAGAACACGCTAACTGTCACTGGCTGATACCAACATTCTACTGATATATTGTTAATTAATTAAGTGCATGCCCCATTATTTGCTTTGTTGGAACGACGTAATTGGAACGACAAAACAAAGCAAGTCGCTAATAGTAACTTAGGATAAATGCCCTCACCCAAAAGCTCCGCCGACCCCTTGACAGGGGCGTAAAAGGTGCTTCTCGAAAAGATTTCCTGTTACAGAAAAACTAGTGAGAATTTAACAAGAAAAACGTGCCAGAATTTACTTTTAATAATAATATGATGTGCTACTTAGGTGACAATGACAGGAAAGTTTTTGTGATGGACATAAGCTTACACATTATTGCATGTTGAAATGCACAGAACTCGATGTACCGCAGATTCAGAGAGCAGCAGATTAACTTGATGTTAATTAGCAGAGTCTCTATGTGTGACTACCCCATCCGACTATCAAACCGATGGCTACTCAGTTCAACCATCGCTTACCTTTATACAGCCAATTTCAGTGGCGTTCTTAGTACTTTAGGAATTGCAAATACACACCCATGATCTAGTTATTTTATTCAGATGCTGATTCAGAGAGAACCGCATATGACTCTAATGGAAAAGGACTTTTGCAAAGATAAAATTATCGTTTGTTGCCATTATGAAAAATAGCAAAGAATGGTGGAGGCCAGGGAAGACATAGCAGACAAAGAGGCGCTGCTTTCATCACAACGACCCTGACAAACGCAAATTGAGTTGATTAGTACCAAAGGAGATGACGAGAAAGACAGCAGGCCCCACAGGCAGCAACGACAAGGACAGCAGTGAAGACATGAAACACTTTTACCGCCTGCAACTGGCTCCAGCCCCTTCCAATAACGTACGAAGTCCGTATCGAGAGCCGAATGTAGTAGACCGTCGATAACGACAGCTATGGTTGCGCACCGTGAGGGCAGCTACCCTCACTTATAGTCAGCAATATTCCTGTTACGCCTCGTTACGTGTGCTCTTTATTTTAGTTATGCTTATGGTTGCACACGGCCAGTATATAGCTGTGCCTGAAGTATTTTATTTGCAAAACGCGATTAGACTTAGCTTATACAGCTGAAGCCGCGCAAAATTCTCAAACATTGCATACGCTAAGGACTGCTGGCAAACGTACAGCATAAGCTAAGCCAAATATATCAATGAAGGTGATGGTTGTTGTCGCTGTTGTTATCGACTTGTCAAATACTTGTCAAGGTAAGCGGCACGTGAGCTTTCCTTGTTCTACATCCAATTGATATAGTGTATGGCAAAGAAGTCGATAGCGACAATAACAGCAACGGCCGCAAAAACAATATTGCACTTCAGCGCTGGCTGATGGAACAGTAGATCCAACCCTGTCTACCTCCAGATAGGATTCGCGTCCCAGAAACAAATCGGCTGGTAGGATTAGGCTGCAGACGTTCAGCCAAGGACATTCGGAAGATATTAACAAATTAACTCCTGGCCGTGACAGCCTTGTGTGATTGTTTCAAAATGACTAGCAGTCCCTAAATCGTATCAACTTGAACCTAACATTCTCGTAGGATAATGCGAACAACAGCGTCGACGTATCCTCACGAGAGAGAAAAAAGAATGGGCACTATCTGTACATCAGATGCTGCCACAGTGACTGAGAAAGCAAATAAAGGGTTTTCAATATCGTGTTCGACCAAATATAAGAAAATAACGGCCTGATTGTTTGAGACTAGTTTTTATCTGTAACATACATCTACGCACAGTACACATACACTATCTACGGCACTGGGGTACTTTCTCACCTCCGTCGATTTTTGCGATGCTGTCAAGTGGAAGCTGTATTATAATACCGTGAACGCGAGGGTCAGAGTTAAGTTTCTGGACACCGCTAAGCAATTCTGCCTCGCTCACCTCTCGTGGATATTTCACGTGTTCACTATCAACGCCCACTTCGGCGGCAGCCTTAAGCTTCTGACGAATGTACACGTTTGAGTCTTCGCGACCGCCAACCTGCACGATGACGAGTTTTGGCTGGAAGCCTGGATGTTTCGCTTTCAGGTCAGCAACCTCAGCCTTTAGAGCTTCCCGAACCTCTTTTGCTGTCTGCGTACCCGAAAGTATATTTGCCACCATGTCTGAAATGATGATAGGCAGCCGGTTCAAAATAATATGTAGCCTATTATAGTTTGTTGAGTTCAGAAAAACAAACTAAACCCGTACTCGATCCAAAGACTTTTTACGCTTTGGGTCAAAGGTAAGAGACGTTTAATCTTTGAAAACAAATAAGCTATTGTATCCTCTTATTCTTTCGTACGTAAAGTTTATATCAGTATTGTGCAGGCATCGTCCAGGAATGAATAAAACGTGCATGCAATGATTTAAAGAAGTTTAGATCAAGGATCACAGCGATCGAATCATATAAAATACGGCTTCATTCAAAGAGCTGTTGCTGAATACGGACCTTTCTTAAGTATGGCCGAGTTATCCTTTAGCAGATAGTTACTGATTATAGACACTGAGTGCTGCAGAGCGCACTGCTCTACAATTGCACATTATAGGGCACGGAATGATGCACAAAGACGTCACCGTAGCTAGGTAGGAACTGTCCCTTACAAAATGCGTGCTCGCTGATAATGTTGCTGAAACATTCTTCGGAGCATATTGCAAGATGCCTAGCTCGTAATCATTTGAAATCGGTTGTTAGATAGGATATTTCGTAGAACCTTCGTTTTACAGCTTAGGCTGAAAGTATCTACTAAATGCACGTCGGTGACAGTCAGCTTAATAGCTTACGTGCGCTCTCCTACGTATGTCCGGTATCTCTGTGCAGAGATCCGTGTAGTATAGACGGGTCCGCCACGAGACAATCTACAGCTTCGCCAGTCTGGTACTTCAATAAGAATAATTCGTATAAACGAAAATAATAACACGTGCGCGTTTTTCTTCTATCGATAAATACGTAGGTTAATCGGCCTCCCTCTCTAGGTAGATCTAGCCCAGCCAGATCGGTTTAGACTAAAAATCTTCCTAAAGTAGGCTTATGCATATTGGCGTATGGCCTACATGTTCGCAGAGGCATGTAAGCGTTGATTTGATATTCCCTTGAGAGCCTATCGGTAAGCGAAGGCTCGATCTTTTTGCTCGGAGAAACAGGGTCACACGGGCACTTCTGATGAATGTATCGATTTGTTTTTGGCATTTGCTTATGCTGTGATAAACGTAATCGCAGTCAGCATAAATAGAATATCGTTATGAAAGCCTGTACTGGCAGTAGCTTTTCAACTGTCAACATGTATATATGCATACATAAATCACGAACAGACCAGCCATAATAACGACAATAAAAGTACTTCACATTATCGATTTTATGGTGTTTTTTTTTTTATTATAAAAAAGGATTATTATTAGATGGCATAAATAGAACTGTGAATCAATGTCGGTATTACACACGGACAAAATACATTACGATGGTTAGGTCGCCATGCGGACTTTATTTAAATAAACTTATTATTGACTACTGTGACCGAGTGGCTACTTTATGGCCACTTTACGGCCAATAGTTTTTGTGTCAGCTGTACTGCTAACCTTCAACGATCTTCTACTAGTAATGCACGATCTTCAAATCTTCGCCGCTACATGTACTTTGGAGAAGTAGTTGGCATTTTTCTTTCACTAAAAACAGACCTTGCTTTATGGTGCTCTTCTGTCTTCTTTCGTAAGGGTTCTTCTTTAAATATCCTTCATTGTTGGGGCTAATTCATTTCGACTTTGATATATTTGAACTGGCTAGTGTTATCGAAAGCCCCAATGGGCAATGTACATGGCAAACATCATCCTACAACAGATTGCCGTTGGAACAATTGCGATGGCTGCCTTTCGATTAAGAGTGGCTATTCGTGCGCGTCTAATTAAATCAATCTATGAACAAACAACACAATCAAACGAGTTCGCTAACAAACAGTATTATCGAAAGGAGAGCTATGCGCTACACATATACGATTGTGTTTATAGGAATATAGGCAGCGATTGCTCGGTTCGATCTCGCTTTTTGTCATAACAGTCATCAGATAAAAATCAAAAAAAGACAAACGAGATCCGCAAGAACGCGGGCGTTGCTTCGACATTCGAAAGTACAACTGGTCTACAGCAGCACCAACCGCTTTGTCTATGTCTGTTGTGAAGCATGGAGTGAACAAAAATGTAAGCATAACTAATTTACAACGCTTAATGTTTAAATTTACCTATTTCTCGCGGACGGTCTCACAGACGCGGTTTCGGTTAGGGTGAACGCCGCTGTTCGTTTCTACGCGTCGTGCAGGATAAATTGCCAGGCAACCAGGACGTCGAAAGGTGGTAAGCCTTTACCGAAAGAGCCAAACTATGTCTGTGCGGGCGGTTGATTTTGTCAGAGGGTGAAAAGAGGCAATCTGAAGCTGTTATGGATAATACTTTTGACTTTATTTTTAAAAAAGGATTAAAAAAATGAAAGACTTGACTATGAATTATAGCTCGATCTAAGCATATAACAGCCGAGTCCTTTCGTTAGAAATACTGGTCTATCCCCATTTCAGCCCCTGATGCTAGTGGTACTGGATAAATTTCACACCTTTCAGAGTTATCTTTGACAGTCGACCCCTCTCCTAACGAAGATATTGCCAATTGGCTAATAGACAGAACGGCAAATTGTCGTTGTCGTCAGTAGGAGAAGGATGCACTTGTGATCGACATTGCGCTATATAGATTGGATACGGATATATCAACTGACCGTACCCAGTTATACATTATGTGTTTACTAACTATTCGCTGCGGCCTATTCCTTAATATAATAATAATTAGGTACCAATGCAACAGTCTTAAGGCAATATCTGTTCGGCTGCACACAGATGGGTTCACTCTAACTATAAGCGATATTTCGTGCGTGTTCTAATACATAATCTACAGTTTCTCATGTTTTGTTCGGTGACTTGTTAACGAGATATATTATACGGAAAAATCTGACCGTTCCGTTTTTCACGACCTCATTGGACTGCGGCCTTAGCGGAATATACCTCATTTGCTCTGGCTGTTGCCACTGACGTTATGTGCCATTACTTTCATTTTGAACTTATTACCACTGTGGCAGCGGAATCTGCTCTCTACATATGCCGCAACAACCTCCGTGTATTTATCTTCTATTTCATAAGTTAGCAATAAATATATGATAATGTATTATGCTAGACGGAAAATCATCACATCTACCTGGTAGCAAACCATGTGTCAAAGAGTGCGGAAGTCACTGTTTAAAAATCGCGCCTAACAAAAATAGTAAATTATCTTAAAAAAAAAAATGTATATACATGAATATCAGTGAAAAAAATTGTTGTTGTATTTTTGGCATGAATAACTTTTCTCCTGACAGAGAGAACAGCGTAATGCAATGCAATGTTACGCAATTTCGTGCTTTTGAGATAGCTAGCTAGCCATGCTTAAAGAGAATGCAACAGGAAGCAGAACCTGCTATCGAGCACTCTTGAGTATAAATTGCGTTTATCTGGATCTTTCTTCCCTAGCTATAATTACAGCGGTAATCGGTAGCTATAAACCTCACTCGACCGAGTAAGGACAAACAATAAAATAATACAGTACCATAAAAACAGTGCTTTTGTCAAAAGAAGCTGGCGCACATTCTATGAGAAAAATTAGATACCTCAAAAAATGTGCCGCTCAATGTAAATGAGATCGGCGGAAACCTGCTCCAATCTTAGCTGAGCGTCTTAACCGTGATTCGAAGCACATCATCCAATTCAGATAATCTCCCAGACTATAGTATTTATACATAAAGCTAGCTTTTAAAAGAAGCTACGTACTACCCGTATCGGTAACGACATTTCATCCCATCGTCACTACAGTCATCGCGTCGGCACAGAATGTATCAATTAATAAAATTTCTATTGAACGCATTTCGCCTTCGTTGTTCGAAGTAGCAGTTGGCTTTTTCTGCACTTAAAAGCGAAGACGCTAACTTTTTGGTTTGTTTAGGGCAATTCCACAGGTGGTTGAAAGTATTGAGCTTCTACACATTGATCGACTGATGTGAATTTTCATCTACGATCATCAATACCTGCGGGAACTTTGGATCGATTGAGGTACTGTCTATTGAGATAAAGTTTTAACTCGCTCCCAAACGCCTAGAACGATTCTCATATCTAAGCTCCGCACGTCGACCATTTGGGCAATAGCATCGGGCGTCTCCAGAACCCAAACGCGTTTGCCCGTTTTCCTTAGAGAAGAAAGTTGGAGATGCAATGCACCCTGATAGCCCATCTCGCCGGCAGGCACCATATGGCAATCACCGTTAGTGGATAATGTGATTGCGGAAGTTTTATATTACTAAGATCAATATTGAGAATTAACTATACAATCAGGAACTCCACATTTACTTCTATGAGTAGAGCGTATAGATTTTACATGAATTGGTCACTAGTGATCAAATTTGCGTTTTACTAGACGAGAATTTAAGTATCCAGTACTATCACGAGCTTCGTAATTTCAGTGCTGGCCATGGTTTCGTTTAGAAGAGACATGGAAGCAAAAGTTTAAAAAACAGCGGTGAAAACGGTGTTGTTCGGTTGCCATAACATATGGTCCCTGCCATAACAGTAAGGCAGTCGTATTATTATTAGCGATTATTATAGAAGATAACATCTAGCTAACGTGAAAGACAGATTACTGTTATATTTGTTTAGTTACAAAGAAAAAAAAAGGTCTGTACTGGTAAAAATCATCCCATAGCAGCAGTGTCATGAAAGTATTTTATATGGGGTTGCCACCATATGTATCCTGTACATACAATGTAGTTCATATTTTCATTTTGCTGCTAGAACTTTTAATGAGTTTTATTTATAAAAAAAAAATTAGCATGATTGCGAAATGTGCACTAAAATCTTTTCCCCTACTTCTTGGGTCCTATACACAGGCACTTTTTCTCACTACTCCAACATATAAATATATAATAAATCAAAAAAAATTCTAGCCAGGCACTGGAATACCTAGTTATGCCCTTACCTGTTGTCCTTTTAGCTCTGCTACGACAAATCGATAGCGTTAAACGAGAGCACGAACGCTTTGCCCAGAGTACTATTTTAAAAGAAATGTTATGAGTGCTAGCTGCAGTCTCTGTGGTGATTATCTATGGCGTTGCCTTCGCAGCCGGCTACAGTGGTAAGCGAGTGGAGCGTACATTAATGATCTTGGTAAACAGAGTTAGGTGACTTGACGCTATGCGCCCTCTAAAATACCCGTAGAAAGTGGTAAATTTCAACCACATTCCTAATCAGTGCAGGAGTCTGGAGAATGATGTGCGTTTCAAGTTTTCCTCTGTGAGACCGATGGACAAGTGGAGATAAGCGAATTGAACGTTGTTACCAGAACGAGGCTGATAATCAAAATCTGCTTGCCTGATACCGATGACGAGGAGCGACGATCACGATAGAAGCTTCTGGTTTGGCAAGCGGTTCCAATAATAGTAGCGCACAGTTAGGTGGATGACCAATGAACGAGGATACCACTCAGTTACCAATAGCATTACCGTGCTAGCATATATAAACTCCAGGCACCTACGAGGTGTAGCTTGGAGTGACATCTATAGGATACGCCAAGTGTGCACCTTTATCAAGACAGGTTGAACGGCACGAGTAAACTGACGAATCTTATCTACTGTAGAACGGCGTGAGATAGTTATCATGATGTGTGCTTCGACTAATAGATCAGCGTGATGATAGCACCGCTTGATATGGGAGGAGATCGTTATATAAAACGGAGACGAATATACTCTAATGAACTACACAGTCAGTGGCACTGGGTGACCGTATAAACATTTTAGACCACCAAGACAAAATGGAAACGTTTGCATCATGTAGCCTAAGTCGCACGCCTATCCACAGATAGTTAGACGAAGGAACTAGACGTCTTTTATCTGTAATAGTACGTTTCTTCATTCTAACATTCGTGTGCTTCAGGCCTCAAAGAAAGGGCAATAGATCAGCGACTGAATTCGATATTATGTAAGTTCCAAAAAGCTGTTATTACTTCATGGTATCATCATTAGGCCTCTCAAAACAATAGCGACCGGAAAAATGAACTAAGCGTACTTTGTCAATATCAGAAAATAATTTCTGTAAGATGATGAAATCGGCATACAAAAACGAACCTGACCATGGCCTATGTTGTCGTAACAAAAGTTAGAAGGTTATGTTCCCCGTACATAAGAAGACACAGAACATTAATAATTCTAAAAACTGCAGTGTACAGCGATTGTTGAGATTTGGTTAGGGGGCGATACTCGTCATTATAATGGCGTACGCTCTAGGTAAATTTCACTTTCACAACTACCTGTATGCAGAGCCTATCCGAAAATACTTCTCTATTATCAGCTCCCCACATTAGACTAGACGCGATGTGCTGCTGAATCGTACCTGACTAAAAATTATCAGCCTTTCTAATATATAAAGTGTTCGCTCTGTGTAAAAGTATTTTTCTCTGAGTTGACTGTTAAATTTATGACAAAAATAAGCTTTTTTTTGGCTTGTTTGTTGAGCACAGATTCATCCCTTACTTAGTAATGAGTATTGCAGGCGTTGAAGCACGTTGAGCACGCATGTTCCTCTGCACATATGTATAAGATACACCGCATTGCACATAATATACTACTAATAAATGGACGATTGTGTACGCAGTATTCATTTTTTAGCCTTCCCCATATGTGTGTATATTACACCTTCGGTTACTCTTGAGATTCCCTTATTGCTCTTTTATTAATAGGCATAAGTGATAAATACGTCTAGCCTCTAGTTCGTCTAAAAAGTATCGTCTGTGTATATATATATATAAAAGCTAAGGTCCTCTCAAGATGCCAGACTGGCCGTAATAGGTTTTTTTCGTGCGGACCAATGAATTATACTACTGCTAAATAATGAGATAGACTCTTATTACTAATGCCGACCAAACCTGACTACCCAGAAAACTTTGATGAATTTACATCTAAACAATCATGGCGACTATTTCCGGTCCAGGAATAATGAGACCGTCAAAAAAAGGAATTAAAATCTCCAAGAAACGTCGCAAATATTCAAGAATCGGATTTATATAATAGAACTTATATAACAAAGATTCTCGTCGCCTGATATTCTCTTTAACTGATACATTTTTAGTTAAAGCGTCGCGAGACTGATGTCGATCCGGATACCTTTAAACTAGACAAATGTTCATTATGTTATATGTGCCAGTATCTATCAGTAGAAATCAGCAGTTCTTTTACTTCTATGCTCGACTTCTTCTTAAAAATTAGCTCTTGTTTTATCATTACCCTTAATTATTTTATATATTTAAACGTTTTTGTTCTTGGTCGTAATACACTTATAAAAATGCACGTTGGATTTTAGGTATCGCCATTAAGTGTTGCTTCGACTAGCGTCCATACGGCCCTTTGATTAACCAAGATAAGTGATACTTTACGGTATACTGTTGTCGATTAGCGGAATGGCCTATTAATATGAAAGATTTTCTCGTTATGTTTCACTAAGTAAAATAATAATAACAATGATTTCAGTATAATATTGCTATTAATGGGGCTTATCAAATCGAACATGTATGTGACCAATAGTGACCCTTTTCTTTTTTCTTTTCAAAACTATACTACCCCCTAGTAGAACACTTACACTAGTAGAACCCCCTAGTAGAACACTAGTAGAAGCGCTGACCACAAGGGCAATAACTGTTTCTGAACGACTTTTCTCCGACAAGATCTATCCAGCTTATTTAGACAGGTAATTATCTTATCTAACAAGCCTGGCGTCTGCTTTGCAGACGAGCTAATTAAAACCCCTATTCCAAATAGGTCGACACATCCATCTACCTTTTCAAACCACAAACGCTAATTAGATGTTATAATATCACCCATTGCAAGACAGCTATTACCGAGATGTCAATGCGTTTATTAAGTAAGCCCTGATTGAATCGCGGTACAACAAATCAGGCCTGTGTCCCATTTACTTAAAGCTTGTAAACCTTTTGTTTGGCAGCGTCGTCAGTTTGAATTATGTCGATGTCGTCTTAATTGTAAACACTGTTACACATCAGTATTCAGTATGATCCATGTTGTCCTACGTCTCAATTAAGCATATTTTCGTGAGGTAAACTTATTGTCGTATTTAGTGAAATCACAAGGTGCGAGCTAACAAAGTGTGGAATCTTTTATTTATTTTCTCCGAACAAGGCAGATGTAAATAGCAATCATTTTGCTCCTGACATTTCTTCAGGGAGTCGGACATCCCATCAGCATCTCACTGCATATTGATATCAGGTAGGGATTACGATAGTTCACAAAAGCACACGCGTAGGTATGTAGGTCCATTAGTCAGATGTACCTTTACCAAAATTCAGGGATTAAAGGAAACGAGAAAGCAGCATTCGAGGTTGAAGCTGTCTGAAACACTGATTAGACAACTCAGAGGTAGGAATTTCCTAAAATAAAACTGAAGAGCATTGATGCAGAACCTCAAGTAAGATACATATGTCTGCGTAACAGCAAGAAAGATTGTTGAAAGATATTTTATAATTGAATTAAATAGCATTATATATAGCTTCGTTGAGCTAACATTGAAACCTATTAATTGTCATTTTAACATGTGGCTATGATTATAGAAAATTATCTACTATTCTGGTTTCTGTGTACTAATTTTTTTTACTTAACCATTAACAATGAGTTGTTACTCGATGTAAGTACACAGTGCTCTTTTACGTCACGCGTACAATCCGTTTGTTTCACATCATTTGGTCTTAGATGTCGGCTAGGTTTCAACCCTTCCTCATTTCACTGAGCTTCATGGCTCATCATTTTTTCAGCATTTGACAATACGTCCTCGATGTTGTTTCACGATAAAAACACAACATATATTTATATAGATAACCCGTTTTGATCATTTGCTCAAATATATTGATCCTCTATTCATTGTGGAATACCTATTATAGGTTCGATCTATCGAATGTATTTAAAAAAATTATTCTTCTAATATTAGCTTTTAATGTTATGAAAGATCGCCTACATTATACATATCTATTGTGGTTCTTGGCCTTCACTGGTCACGAGGTCACGGCAAACGTTTAGGACTATATAACGTATTACATTAAAAAAAAAGGGGGCCGGATTTCGGCCCTTAAGAAAATACAATCGCTCATAAGGGCTGTTCCTAGAAAGTAAAACTCCTTTTCTATTTTGCAAACTCTCTTTTTTTTTTTTTTTTTTTGTTCCAAAAATGCGTTCAGGCTTATAGTAGATAGGTTTGCATTTTCAACTGCAAGAACTAGCCCACATTCTACAATGAAGAAGGGCAAAAAAGCGGGTCCATTATCCACGGAAGGCAATATTAAGGCAATTATTAAGAACCAAGTTAAAGTTGGGCTTCGGATTGAAAGAGTTTCCACTGGACCTGTGTTGGGATTTATAGCTATTTTAAACACCGCTTGTATAGTAACGCTGTTGCAAAGTTATTATAGATGTATCAGACCGTGCAGAAAATGAGAGAAGCCTCAGTGCAATAGGTAATAGTACGTAATAATACTGAGTTATTTTAGATGTGTTTAAGCTAGAAGTTTTCGGTATAACTTCTATGAACAAAAAGCACATCGCCACTTTGTCTGCTCTTATTATTTGCTAACCCCTTCGTGTTTCATAGTGCTACGAGCAAAGTCCAACTTTATAGTCTAATGAATAAGAAACGTACCTATAAGAAAAACTTCAAGGCATGTATGGCAGTTTTCATAGATTTGGGAAATTTTAAAATACGATAAAAAGGGTATACTTAGCTTATCCTTTGTATACTTATAGTTTGTATCCCTCAATTTAAGATTTCCTGAAAATTTGGTATAATGGTATATGAAGAACTGGTATCATTCAGATAACTCAAAATCAAGTTTAAATTAACAAAGTTATTACAATGCTTGTGGGTTGGTAGTACATTTATTAGCTCGCGCGATTCCAATCACTTTTAATCAAGTGCTTCTGTTAGAGTATGATATTCTGCTATGTGATTTTCAGCTTATCCGTTTGTTAGTATCAAGCTCATACCACAGTTACTAAGATCGGGAAATTAATTAATCAGCTAATCAAAAAAAAACAAATATGAAGATATAAAGTGTACCCTAAATCTTTTGGTCTACATCTACCAATATATAACCTGGCAACAGCACACCGAGGCCTAGTACACGCATCCGTGTCAGTCCCCCGGTGATATTTTTACCATTTATCTTTGTGCTATATCTTGGTACCGCCATATACTAAGAAATCTAACTATAGGACCCAGTAGTAGACACTTGGAAAGTTATTCCGTCACGATGTTATTGGTTCACTGCAAAATCGTGCAGATGCACTACCCCCTCTTCTTTTCTTCCCATTAACTTTAACTAAAGGACCCTCTTCATCCCTGGTGTCTAGTGAAGAGAACTTTTGCTTGTTAGCACCGCTAGCTAGTCTCAATTCACACTGTAACTTAGCTAGTTTTCCCCTTTTCGTCCCCATCTTTCTTGCCCTCCGGAGCGCTTGAAATTTTCCAGAAAATTTATCAGAGATAAATAAACAACAATCGCCTTCGAGGAGAGATGTGCCTACATGTAGTGTGAGCTCAGGTGTTCAGGTTACTTAGTGCACTGAATTTGGCGGGGCGGTGGCTAGCAGTTGGTGAACGATCGGACGTGGGCAAGAGGATGGAAGCGTTCCAAGCTTCTACTTTGAGATCAGTAGCCACAGCGGACTAGACGTCTCGTCACCCGCAGTGTTGCTGCCACCGTATAGGGATGACCCAAATTCTCATTGGTCGTCTGTACCCTGGGTTAGCTTGACGCAGCTGCGTCGTCGCTCTGCGTGTCAAGGACAAGCAAGCAAGCTGCGGTGTAGTGAAACTTCCAGAGGGTAAAAAATTCAGCGGAAACCAGTTGGGTACAGCCGGTAGGCAACCGATTTTAGAAGTGGGTCCTAAGGTACACATCCCTGTTAGTTGAAGCATAAAAAAGTTTAGATACTGTAGTAGATGGATTGGAACGCCAGGAGTAATCGAAATACAATTCAAAATCTAATGCAACGTTCTCAGCAACACTGCGCTTCAGGAATTCACTATACTGCAACCAGTTTGCATAAAAACTAAGCGGGCAGTCAATCAGAGGGGAAATGAACTGCTCAGGCGGTACATACATTCTGAAGAAGTCGCAACTCTTCGCTTGTGTACGAAGAGAAGCACTCCGGTAGCGAGGTCGTGCATCGTCGTGAAGCTGTATGCAACCGTAGCAAAATAAGCGCACCCTCCAGTCTATCAAGCTAGCTGATATAGCAGCATCGAAATTGAAGTATAATAATAATACATTGTAAGTCTCTCTAATTAGGTCACTATATGCACAAAGAGAAAATGTTATTTCCGACAACTGCTGCTGTCAAGCAAATAGCTCCTCACCTTGAGATGTTTTGAGTCGAGTTAGGTTGAAATTATTATGGGTCTTTTACAACTGTTGATATGAGAAATTGAAACTAATTATAATCCGCCAAGTTTCAGCCGTAACGTTTATGGGCTATGAACGCAGGAAGCAGCCGGCTTGCTAGCTTCTGGAATCAGTACTTTAAATGCGTTTCTACTGTTCTAACTAGTTAGCTTTTCTTTTTGTACAAAAACTATCTTGAAGTCGGTATTCTAAACGGTGCAAACTGTAGCTGCTAGTAAAACGCCCATAGACATAGCACGTGCGTTCATAAAGCAAGTTACTCACCTGTGAAAAATTCGACAGTATACGACAATACGTTTGGCTTGTTCAAGCCCCTAAACGACCGAATGTTTTTTATTCTGTTAGGTGTTAGTACAGGAAACAAGTTATCGTAAGTTTGTCGGAAGTTCTCGGTAGATTTGTTAGTATTTATGAGGATAAAGCTGAGATATTTTTTGCCTATCGATTCTTGCAGACCACGTGTCACTTATGGACCTCAGAGCAGATCGAGACAGAGAGGGAGGGAGGAAGAAAATGAAAGAGAGAGGAAGAGGGTAATACAAGTCAATCTCGATTCGGATTGGTGTCATCTGATAGTGTAGAGTAATGGCTATTCGAGTTTCATAAAATCCTCAAACATATTGTTACAGCTTCGAACACGATCATACGTATGCAAACGTGCTTTGTATTATAACTACTAGAGGATTCCGACTTGCTTGCATTGCAAATTAAAGTAATAGACCGCAATACAATTCTAAATGAACGTTATGATTAAATGAAGATCTTTTCCACGCACACGGAAAAGGATCCCACACAGCCAGTGGGTTAACATAGAGCAATGGCAACCAGTCGTCCCTAGTTATTCGACTCTGTCGTCATTATGAAAGCACATCACTATCACAGATATAGCATTCCTCTTTAGATTTAAGCCTGGCCTACACATGGAATATAATGATGTTTATCTTTCAAATTGGGGCGGCACATTTTGAAACAGCGGAAAAGGTTATGTTGTTCTACTCACTCCATCGAGACTCATTGTTTATCACCATTTACTAAGTGAATCCTTTATGATTTAAGCATATTGGTTCGGTAGAATGTATCATTTCTGTAAAATAAATCATTTCTCAGAAGCACTAGAGAAACCGTAATACTTACGGCCATTGGCATACAATTTGCGTACTATAAAAGGGGAAATTACATTTATTTCTATATAGGATTAAAATATATAGGCTGGCCTAGTAAAGGAGCGTTTTCAAACAAAAAGTACCGAAGATTCCATAATAAAAATTCTCCTTTTTTTTCCATTTGTACATTTGATTAGCAATCGCTTTATTCTTATATTTTATTTTTTTTTAATCGTTATATATATATATATATATAAACTTTTCTTCCCTATTTTTGTATGCTCTCTTTATGTTCTTTCAACTCCTCAATATATATATATATATACAAAAATAGGG